GATGCTAAAACGTCACTCAAGAATCACGTTCGAACAAGGAAGGCAACGTACGAATTGGCAAACTTGCTACCTTAGGATAAAGGTGGTACACAAGTGTTGGAACATCTCGATTTGGTCGTTGGAGATGTGTGTTATTAGGAAATACGATGATGCATCAGTAAAATGAGTCGATTACGATGGAAATAAGATGGTGACCAGAGTTATTTTACCACCCAGTAACGGTTTAAAACTGGCGACGATGATTACGGAGGATTCAGTTTACTGTTCGGTTTGTAAGCAGGTACGTTTTGGATGTCTCTTCCTTTCAGTGGAATAGAGAAGCCAGTTCAAAATTATATGCCTCTTGCAATCTGCTAATACCGTTTTGGTAAACAATCTCAAACTCTGAGACAAGGATCAGAAGAGAATTCAGTTTATCCGCATAGCTGTTCCATAATCAGAGTCAATAATATTGCAAAGACGCATCGTACACTGAGTAAAGTGGGTTGCCCTATTCATACTGCACTTAACGAGGATGACGTTGGCATAACTCATGGTACTTCCACCCGGTAGTCTGCTGGAGATTGCTGGAGAATTGACATATGGTTTGATCCTGTGATGAGATAAAACCACACAAGTCGAGAAAAGCAAAATGTCGGATTATACACCCTTAGGCATTTTCTGGTGTGGCCTGGGTACCTGATGCAACGTGAAAGTTTCTCCATTTGTCCGACAGCTCTTTCAACATGTCTTTCCACTTTGTAATTTGACTGCTGGTTACGTCTATACTGCATAGGGTGGTAAGGCATCGACGAGGAAGTAATAGTCGCAATCTTCCTTGAGTCTTAGGCCCGTGTGCATTTCCGGCCCCATACATAAGCTACATATGAACCGGAATGGATGTAGCCTGAAAACACGCAAACTGCAGCCCGATTAAAATGGTCCTTGCACTGCCTACTTGCGAACCAGTTATCAGCAAGGGTAGTAATCGAACAAATAGACAGAAGACTGAATAGTGATTCTGACTACTTTTTAACGTCTGAATATGCGCAGCCCCCCATGAATTGTCACGTGGTTGCTGTTTTTACGGGGCGATGATGGTCAATTTTAGCTTTGGTCTAATGGTTCAAACAATCAGGACGATGATGAGTCTAGTTCACCCTTAAATCAGTCGCACAGTCAAAACAGCCACCACACTGGCAAGCAGTAGGCGCATGACGACGGATCGCTCACGCCACCTGGCACAACGACAGCAACAGGTGGATTGACCTTTTGACATACGTCGAGGTGACTAACCACAGCGCAGATCTTTGGTGAAACTAGAGTGGCAGCTTAAGTTGTTGAACCTTTAATCGAGGGAGCCGTCAAATGTACTGTGACCATTTAGAAGTGGTTCAGACAGTGATGATTTTAAAGAGGTAGACCTCTTGTGACTTCAAATAACTTTCGTGGTATTTAGTATGTTATGGGCTGTATTCCCACTTGAAAAAGAGGGAGACCCCTGTGACTTCAAATAACTTTCGTGGTATTTAGTATGTTATGGGCTGTATTCCCACTTGAAAACGTCATATTTACGAATAACCAAATGGAGGACGTTTATGTATATATACATGAATTGTACGTGAGGTGAGCCCGACTGTATGTGACCGGGTCGGTCACTTTTTCGGCCAGGGAATTTCGAATCACATTTCAGCCTTGACAGCCAATTTTGCTCGTTAACAAACGGTAGGATTTTGACGTAAATGAAACGTACATGTGAAAGAAATTCATCTTCTAAAGACCAATAGTTTTTGATAGTCATTTTTCAAACGAATCCAGCGCTGGATAAAAGCCTTTGATAGGATTTAAACGCTGAAAGTAACTTGACTTCGGATCTAGTAGAACATCCGTGATTTACCAAGTAGTGTATCTCCTTACACAGTACAACCTCCCTATTCAGTATCTGTTCGCCCTTATTGGATCTCTCAACCACGTTTTCTCCTTGTGCGCCAAATTGGAGTTTTGTGGTAATTTACAAATCGAATCGGTCCAGCAAGTGCAGTTGAGACATAAACCTATAAACCACAAACTAAACTATAAACCAGAGATGTAACTCAGGATTAGCAAAGTCTCCTACCAACACCAATTTAGCTTGCAAACGAGTGAACAGTTCCAAGACGAAAACAGTCTTCTATCAACTGTTGTATCTGGCTCCATAATTACAACCGACTTTATTCACACTGTGACAAGTGCACGAGCGGCTACCAAGACGATTTCAGTCCAGGAATATGAAGCGAAATCCGCCGTTCGAAGTACACTTTTGTTTGGTCTGTTCAATGTGGTTTAATAGTAAAAAAATACACCGAAATATTGCACGCACGGAGAGTTAATACACATAGCGATTTGTCTTAGATGGAATTCCTCTGTGACCCAAAGATGATAAAAATCGCTCACTCTCTTAGGTGCGTAGGTTCCATGCCACCCGACGGAGGTATGAGAGTTTATATACTGTCAGGGTGCCTAAGCCCAGACAGGTACACTTGTGATGCAGGATATTGGTACGAGCTAAAAAACTTCTGGTAAGTTAATCATTGCCTTAATGAGCGAGCAATCTGAGGCTCAATGTGACCTTGTCAAGCTTTAGCCAGGCAGTCTTGAAGAGTATAAACACACGACTGCTGTGTGCTTCAAATAACCATTCCATTGTGCTTATTATGTGATTTCACATCGTGCTGCCAGGCTGAACTTTCCCGTTTGAGTCCGCAACTGCCGAGACGACTAACAGACACAGATGCCAATCTGCAATGCCGATCACGAAATCATTATTCACTGAGCCGAGGAACAATCATTCGAGCTGGAATCTCAGATGAATATATTGAGTTAACGAATTATGGTGGAGATTATATACTCTAAAAGTTAGCATCCCACACAGTCTTACGCCTGATAAGTACTTGTTCATTGAAAAGTACCCGGCCAAGAAACTGCCATGCACTGAGGACTATGTAACTTGCAGACGTCTTTTTGCCCATCCTTGTGCTAAGCGTACAAAATATGATTTGGCAACGAAGTATTAAAATACTAACCAGTAAACTCACTCAGGTTGAAAACTACCTTCTTCCCGTATGAGGATTCATCTCACCAATGGGTAATGGCACTAGCAGACGTGACTCAGCAAGGCAGTTAAAAGCACTCATGCACAATAGCTATCACCTACGGTGCGTAGCTCTCCGGTCTCCCGTTTCCGCAATTAACAAATCGGATTTGAAACAAACCCAGAGATTATGTCATCATCTCCGATGTCTAGCCGGGGAGAAAAACTCCCGGACCTATTCCCAGCGGATGTGCAATTACCAACCGGATGAGAGAGCAAGATTTGTAATACCCCATTTGCAAACCTATTTGGTTATATGGGAGACCCACCTGAAACGCAGCTGAATCTCTCGTTTTTGGTGGTTTTAAGTTTAAGTAGGTTCAAGTAGAACATACGTTTGACGGACTGTGCCTACCTGATGAGCGCCAAGAAGGGCGAAACGGGTCGTGGGCTGTCGAAGAATTTTCAGCAACCTTATGAGTAGTCTATTAGGTCAATAAAATTTTTTTGTTTTCGCAAAACCTACCTGGCTGTCATAGTCATACAAAAATACTACACCAGTGGCTTTTCACGCTTCACGGGGCGGGAATGCCATCGGTTTTAAACTGTGTGGCGGTAGAAGGCGTTATTAGTGCTACAGCACTCTCAGTAAGTGAAATCCACCTAAGCAGCACCTCGAGGGCGGCATTGTGAAAACGACAGTTTCATTGATTGCCGAAGTGAAATTTCGAAAGGTGCAATTTCGCGACTCATAATTTTCCTGTGGTGTGAATCCAATGTGAACACAACCCGTAATCCATCTGCAGAGCAAAAAGCATAGCACAACTGCTCAACGGTCACATCTGTGGCCTTGACCACATTCTGGCTCAACCACGAGAATTGTGAGTCCACAAAGAAGGACACACAAAACGAAGTTCTCTACTGGCCACTGTCTAGTCCTGCACAAACAAACACCACGGAAGCACTGAGTGAAGACTGACCTGTGCAGTAAATGAACTCACTGAAGAAAATGCCCTTGTGCGGATTTCGAGCAGACTAGTGTTTTGGCAAATTTGAGAAAAACTATAGATGATATATGACACTTACACACGAATTTTTTCTGAAACGGATCATCATAAACGAGAAATTCAGCTGGATTCGGCTGAATCTCTGATCAAAACCGAATTAGTGTGCAAACGAAAATTGGTCGAAAACGTTCTAGTTTTTGTTCGAGTAGAACATAAGACTGACGGAAAATCGGGGACTATGCCTACTTGACGAGCCCCAAGAAGGGTGAAAACGGTCGTGTGTTGTCGGAGAGTAGTGTATTATGTCTACATAGACGATAATGTTTGGTTTACTGCTTTTCCTCGAATATTGACGCTCATTCAATATCCTTGTTTTCACGATCAAGCTTCAGCCTTGAAGTGGCTGAAGAAAAAACCTCTCTTCACCATTTCCAGGTTTTGGCTTCGTTTTGGGCCGAACTTCCAAATGAGCAATAACTCAAAGTCAGCAACAGTCAAGACGCTCCCCTGTGGGCATTAATACTAAGCTGTGTTTTCGAATGAATGAATAAACACAAGCGTCCGTTATAAAAAAAGATGGTGGCTAGGGAGTAAAAGTTCTGTCTATCCTTCTCTGCACACGAGGGCCACCAGAACTCACACGAATTTTACCGCATCGAAGGAGCGGTCATAGACCGAACATATGCAGTGGAGATCCTGTTGCGCAGACAGGTTACGTGCATCAAGAAAGAGAACGCATTTGTCTGGCATTGTTTTGATTGCTTTTTGGAAACACATGACGAGCAGTAAACTCATCCAGGAGCAATGCCCTAGCGAACTTAATACTTATGAGAGTCACAACGCGTCGAACTAGGTGCAGGTGACCTTTGAAGCAGCCAACTTCCTCAACATGCCGTGTCAGGTGGTGAGTCACTGTATGTTCGTCCTCGAGACCCTTAAAAATTGCCAAGGAGTATGCTTTAGGTGAGAATGGCGGGTTTTACAAACTAATTTGAAACAATATATTGAATCGTTCGAATGACTCAAAGTAAACAGGTGTACAAAAACCAATGAATCGTAACCATTATTGCGCTTCAACAGAGTGGAGCTAGGGGATATGGACCAACAGAATAAGAGAGAGAGAGAAAGCTCCCGAGAAGTGGTGCGCCTATGGTGACAAAGGCTGCACGACGATAAGGGTACAGAGGGACGGCAAACATTCTATGAGGGGTGTGGTGGTTGTGCAGAGCAATCCGAGGGACGTAATGACTTTGTTCCATCGACCGATCCATGATAACAGTGTGAGTACAATACATCTTGAACATCTAGGATGTAAACACCTGACATAAAGGATAGCGGCGTGATAGCTCAACATCTCTCTGACAGCAAACAAAACACGGTGAACAGCGTACTGAGTCAAAACTACCGAAGCTTGTAAGGATAATTTTAGTCAGATCTAGGGGTGCTATTGAAATCGGGATGGGCATGGGACAAGGTGAATTTGCTTGTGATAATATATGGAACTGATCGACGGGGTGTGCGAGCCTACACAGAAATGAAGGAATACTGCTTGACCGAAAACCCGAAATAAGTGAAGTCAGTTGTTTGTGTGAAAGCTGTGTGGAGTATATACAAATCGTCCTTAGGATAGCACTTTAAGGGCGAATGCGAATCGACGGATGTGGCTGGCTGCTTCTAAAATGTTTGCTTCCAATAAGATGTGTTTCTGTGTGCATTGCCGAATGGGAAAATCACGAAAGTGTGGAGAACGAAATCAAGGAACTGAAGACAAAAAGCCACTGAAAGCACTGCAGTCAGCTAGACTATTCCTCCTCGTGTCACACATGATGGTAGAATGAACGGAGTGTACACACCTGGCTGGGTTCCTTTCTGTGTGTTTCACGGAGGACTGTCACAAGGAGACAAAATACATACGGCTGCGGAAAATCAGCGGCATTTTTGCTCGGAAACTGGAAGGTCGAACAATCCGTACGGTCGTATCCTTCGGCTGGAACTAGAACAATTCGACACGTCGTTTGAGATCATTGCGCTTCCACTCCGGAAGACGATAGAAGGCGGACCGTGAAAGTCGAAAGATGTTTTGAAATTCCTCCTCCGAAAGATACATCTAATAAAATGGAGATGGTAGCGGAAAAGTGAATGACTAATAGTCAGTGTTTTTTTGACATTAGTCTGAATGTAGGCACATTAAAATGATCTGTTGGAAACAGTGAATAGAAATGTTTCAGAAAGAAGTTTCGGAAAAATTGACGGGGACCAACACCTTTTCATCACAGTCCATATTAGCGGAATGAAGCTTTGCAATGGGGACAATCGAAGGTTTTCATCAAATGGGACAAAAAGACTGGCCCGTTGCGACTTGTTTTATCGTAAAATACCTGGAGTTCTGTGTGTTTCTACACTTTGTCACGCAATAATGTTGCATTAGAACATGGTGAGGTGCGCTCATCAGTTTTCTGGTTTGCTTACCAACGTGTTGAAAAAGCAGTCACTATTGATGAAGATCCAGAAGCCTGCTGTCTTCTGCGCAACAATGAAGTAAGGAATAATTGTTGACTGTGTAATTTTTTTAAATGAATTTCTCTACTCCATCCAGTTCGTGAAATTAGAATGTCCAAAAGATGATGCAGTCCAGGTTTCCACTGAAACACTTATCAATTCTAGGCATGACGTCAACTGAAAGTGCGAAATTGCTCCCGTTTAACATCATTCAGCATTTGATTCTTAAACATAAGGCTTTTGCTAATTTATCACTTAGCCTCCAACTCAACCACACACCCACGATTCTTCTCTCCTTCCCATCCACAATACCAGCTTTTGGTGGGACAGCCTGGCGGGGAAATATCCCTTAGAAGAAAAAAACGATACGTTAAACGAGCTGCAGGGACCTAGACAGAGCGGATGCTTAATTGATGTGGTTGAAATTACACACACATAGACATACTTATACTATCATGCTGCTGGACTCGAACGAGGATCATCTAATTTACTTCATTTATTTGAAGGAGAGGTTCTACACGAAAGTCCTTGAAAGTCAGATGAAATAGATCAGGTTCGGAAAGGTAAATGTCCGCGATATTTTCAGGCACATATGTGAGATCTCGGAAGAACACGAAAAATCCAGTGGGCGAGCGACAGCCAAACCAGTAAATGGAAAAATGAAATTGTGACTTCTTTCGCGATTTTCTCACATTTCAACTACAATGGTCCAATATCATTTCCGAACGCTTGAAAGAGAGCTCACTACATAGTTGGGACAATGCAAACAGGGCACAACACGGGGAATGTTACATTCATGGAACAAGCCTGCTAACGCGTTCTAACCTTAAGGATACTCCTTAATTGTGAATTTCAAACAGAAACAAGACACAGCACTCCACTTTTGTGACAAACCGTCAATAAAACAAACATTCGGGGTACCGCATTATGCTGGTGCAGCATACTACTCACAAGGTTGCTGAAAGCAACCTGAGACCAGGTAGAAAACTCGGGGACTGTACCTACCAAATAACCTCAGAGAAGGTTTAAACGGTCATGAGTTGTCAAAGGGTTTTCAGAAACTTCATAAGTATCATGTTCCGTCAAGAGATTAAGGGTCGGCACTTGAATGACGCCACTTTTCATGGGGATCCCAAAAACAAACCCCAGGGCTCTACGGAAATGCTCTATTTTTGAGTGTCTTTTCCACCTTGGGTTATCGGATAGTCATTCCCAAACGCCATGCCTTCCTAAGTTGCTTATAACGGGTTTGCATTTACTCGCAGCTAAGCGTAACTTCCGAAGACTATGGTTAGCGGGATTAGCCATTAGACCATTAGATGTAGACCGTTTTTTTACTGTGGGTCTCGCCACTAACATCACTGTTTAAATAGAGAACGAAGGGGTTACTGTACTGTCAAGGAAGGAGATTCCAAAGCATAAAATGCTGTCTTATATCGAATGAAAAGCACGAGCAACTAGTGGTGTGGGAAAACGTGCAACTACTACTTCCGCACGCTAGCCAGGTCAGATGTGTAGATGCCTGAATATAACGCTGAACGTTCAAAGCACACACAAACTCGATCATTACACCGAGGTATCCATTGAATGAACTGGGATATTAAGAGACGCCCTACGCTGAAGATGGTTATTACGTTGATCAGGACCACAAACAATCATAAGCTCCACTGAGTGATAAAGTAACCGAAAGTTGAAAGTTTATAAACGCACACCTCTTTTATTTGGTCTATCGAGTCACTTAGCTAGGACCTCCCCAAACCGAATATGTTTTTAATAAATATCGGCTCTTACAGAATGTATCTGTCTGCCTTATGATGCTCTTCAGTTTCTCCTCACCAAAGGCGTCATGCCCGGTCATGAGACAAAAATGAGTGCCTAATGCTTGGGTCACTTACGAATTTTTCGCGATTATCTGGTGACGAATACTGTGGAGAATGCTCAACAACCCTTCAGCACTTAAGATAATATCTACTGTAGCTGTGTTGGTATACGTTCACCAAACGTTTCAGAATGATTCCTTTTAGTAAAGTCTCCTCGCTCAACAAATACAGTTAACATGAAATTGACGGCACACAGATTTACAAAATTAAGTTCTACTATCCAATATTCCCTGAACCTGGTCTTTTTCTGCTCATTTGGAAGGAATTTCTCCTAATTCTTTTGACATACACAACAATTCTAGTTTGACATTTCGCTGGCGTCCAACTCGTCCATTTACAGGACGTGAAAAAGTGTTGGGGTGGAACAGTGTGAAATACTGTGTCACACAGATAATATGGTGTCAACCTTCTGAGAAAACCCAAGTATCGCAAAACGGGTGCTGTGGTAGTTTCCGTTCACCACATTCTTCCGCAGATGTAAAAAGTGTTTGGTCTAACCTAAACATGTAGAAAAAAGCAATGCGGATGGCGTACAATTTAGGGCATTTAAAGGGTTTTATATTTGAAGTCAAGTAGGTTTGGAGAATTTGAAGATATCGATTAAACTGCTGTGAGGCTGCTAGGATCAACAGTTTGCACTGAAACCGCAACAAACTTTTGGAGCCATAGCGCGTGGCATCCATGCAATCATCGGAAACTAGGAGAGCGAGCATTATGTTAAACCGCCTAAGCAAACTGTATGTAGGGGCGGGGCGGGATACACAAAATGTCATAGTGCTTGAACTGATTGTTCGAATGACTTCGACTTATGCCTAGGATGTTTGACTGGTTGAAAATATTCCCTACTGCAGCGAACAAGACTAGTCAGACATTTTTTCAAAACTAAAAGACCTTGAGCGAAAATACAGTGGCAGTCGGACATGCTGGGCACCGATTTACTACTGTTTGACACTTCGAATTCAAGCACAGCATTTCGAGTGCATGAATATCCCAAATACCTCCCACTGGAAACCCTTCAATTTCATAATCTTTCTGAACAATATAGAGCGCGCAGTTGACCAGAATAATTACCGCATAAAACATGTGGATTTTGACGTTACCGGTTGCAAGCTGCAACATAAGTTGTCATTGAGAGTCCTCCCTTCTTTATGAGGGGACTTAGCATTAGGCTAGTTGGCGGAAATCGATCACAGGCCTATCAGTCCTGTGCGTCGTTTGTCTGATAAAAACGTACGTGTTTTATCCATAACCACAAATGACCCGATGGATAAGTTCAAGCGAAATTTGTCGTGCAAATCAATGAACACTTGGAAACACTCTTGCTACCACATGGGACTATGCGACAAACACAGGAGGATTGTCGGTTCGTTTGCTGAGCAGGGCAGTTCGGATGCAAGTCTTCCACCGTCAACTGAAGCGACGACATCGGGGGGTTGTTATGTGGCGCAGGGGCGAAAAGTACTAGGTATAGACAGCTTCTAGACATGTATTACAGACGCAGTGCACTTGTTACAGACACAGTTCGGGGATAATCAATGCAAGTACCGGCATTTTTCTGCAAGGACACCTACTGGTGAACAAAGCTTGTCACAAGTGGGCACTAAGTTTCCGAAGAAACAGCTGAAATAACTATTCGTGTAAAACAGGTTGAATTCCCATATCACAGAAGGGCTGTAAGTGAAATCACACATTTAGCTTCGCTTTGGAATAATATAATATAAAAGTAATCATTCAGCTACAACATTCCTTCAGTGCATAGCTGTCACGCCGGCCGAAATAAGCACGAGAGCTGAGATATTGTCAGGTTGCCCGAGCGTTGACAGGAGCAGCCGAGATGCAGAGATTGTGATCGAATCACGGACCACTCAGTCAATAAGATCATGACTCAACCACTGACCTATCTCAGACTCGCCTTGGGTAGATGTTAGCTGCCCAAACGTTCTTTTGTATTCTTATGTTGTTTCGGTCAGAGTTAACGGAGTCGTTGACAAACAGGAGGACAGATTTAAGGTGGGTTGTTTCTCTGATTACTCGCAATTCCTAATTGCAAAGCCCGATGAATATGCTTTGTTGAGGGCAATAACCTAGAGGGACAAGTGGTGGAACGATGTTACTCAAGCTTCAAAAGAGTGGACTGGACTCAACTTGGAGATTGTGACTTTGCACGGGACGACCGGACTTATGTGCACGTAAATTTACAGCTCTGCCAGTTGTTCCGTTGGTTTATTGATTAGACCTTTTTTGGCAAACATATACATGTGAAAAGTAACAAAACTCAACCGTACGGATATTTCTACAGACTGATGACTATCGATAAAAGTCAGAAAAAACTAGAATCCCAGTCGGTGGAAGTTGGAAAGGAAGTTGAAGAAGCGATGTTATGAAGGCGTTTTCATCGAGAGCGATCAGTGTTGCATCCTCTAGAGAGCATATAAATCTAGACGAAGTATCATTCAATGCCACTCGACATTGGATCATCAGATTCGGGAAGTAAGCGAGTTAATCCAGAAAATGACAGGCTTTACCTTCATTCGCCTGAAGATCATCATGCGCAAAGGGCTTGGGGGACAAGAACTGTTAATATGGCCACCGTTTGTGGGCATTCCAGGTGGAGAGGGTCAACGAGTTCCGTTTGTTGGAGATGTAAATCACTCAGATTCTTCTTACTATAAGCAACACGCTTCTCAGTCATTCAATATAACTGCCGTGTGTTGTACAACTGTATAAAAATGCGCCGATCACGCACACATGTTAACAGTGGAGTCAAGTTAAAGAGCGTGGGCTTGGTCGGCGAAACTCAAAACACGAGTTCGTGACCAAATAGCGAAGTTATCTAGTAAGTTTACGAAGGGTAGCAGGGTGCGATTGGCATGCCGTTTCCGGTCAGGTTCTTTCTACTGACAAAATTTACTCCACACCTCACTTTGGAATTACACTAACCGTTCGGCTATTTGGAGGCCTATTGAGTTTTCCGAAATCTATCCGAATAAACTCGGTCCATGAGGACTATCCAGAGTGAACCCTTTCTCATCAAACAATTTGAAGTTTACTATAATCACGGCGGCGGATGACTTGCCATCCAGTTCGTTCTTAGATGTGATTTGCTTCGAGGCACAGTCATAGGTTCATCCTCTTCAAACACCGGTGTGGAAAAGATTGTGATAAGTTGCTCATTCTTCCAAAACACACTGCAGACTCAGTACACATGAGGACTCAGATTTGCCAATGGCAATGAGGTGCATACTCCACAAACTAACCTGATACACCAGGTCAGCGACTGCAGACCTGCATTAACCCTGGAGCATATCCAGACAGATTGAACAACAAATTAGTCGTTAACCCTTTGGTCAGTCCATTTGATTGTATTCAATCAGTTCCGCTACATTTAAAGTCACCCATTTCCGCTTGCATCTGAATAGTGATGACCTACCTTCAGTTCCCAAGCCGAACTAAATTATTTCAACACTGTTGAGAAATACGCACCTGATAAGCACTTCTTAACTGTCATATCTGGGTCACAAGTCATCTGCTATTCGTCAATTAAGCATCATTCGCTGCATGAGAGTAAATTTGTAAGTCCGATATTCCAAACATATGACATTCAAACAAGATAGTTTTATTGGCACTTCATATGAACAGCACACTTTAAAGGGCAAAACTTGATATCCCATAGGCCAATTAATCCACGTTTCAAAGCTGACAACTGTAGGCTGAGAATTGGGCGACATCCTTTTAAGCATATGGTAAACCCTTCCGATGTTTTGGTTTGTCGTCGGAAGTCTGCAGTGGAGGGTAACACATATGACGCTAATTATTCCTTTTGCGAAAAATGTATGTTGCGTGTAGACACACCCGGCAGATGGCATTCAGCCGACCTGCACGCAGTATGGGCTACAAAAGCGGGATGTTATTGCCGAGGCTCGAAAAAAGGCTAGACACAAGTCACGTGATGTCACGGTCGATGAAAAATAGATGGAAGGAAGAGAGTGAAACGATTCACTGATATGGGTGTGCTGTTCACCAGCATCGCGACCGTCAATTCCTCTGGTGTTTGATTGCATCTATCCAGCATCACAGAAAGGAATTACATTGAGTGACAATGAGAAGTAAAGGAATGCAAAGCAAATCCCTTAAAAATCAATTCCTCAAGTGTCTGAGGCGAGTGCCTTTACTAGGATAACAGTGGTTGGACAAATTTATGGTATGGGTATGAATCGCATCTGTCAAGGAGGGAGAAGATAGTCCTTAACTTGAAATACTATTCGATGCGCTGTCTGTCGATGGTAGGAAGCAGTAAAGATGGCGAGTCGGCCACACCTAGTTCACATCGGAAAACCATAAGTACGCCACATCTACAGGCTTGACGGAGGTTACCCGAAATCCAGTCAATCGGTCGCAACAATTCAATGCAGTTTTGACCGTATTTCGTGAGAATTCCAAAATCAATGAAGTACTCTAAATGCATTTGTTGCGAGTGGCTGCGAGAGTAGTAGAATTAGCATTCACATTGCGGCCACCTTCCAACTGACCGACAACTGTCCAGGATTGTCCAAAATTGTCCGTCGTGCCAGCTGACTGGGTAGGCCTCATAGACAGCTCAATCGATTGCAAAAATGAGGACAGTTAAATGTTTGTCGTTCGAGGCGTGGGGTAAAACAGTCGCATCGCTCAAAAGTGGAAACGTTCGCATGTTCAGATGTGATAAATAGGGTGCACTCAGCGCGCGCTGATGGAGTAAAGTACTGGCCTCGCACACCAGGTATCCGGGGTTCGAATCCCGCATGATCAGGAATATGGACTGCTGATACCCACTAATAAAAGCAAAACTCGAGTCCAGTGTTAGTCCGAGGGACTAATAATAATAAATACGTGAGGATACAACGAGGAACAGTAGTTATGTGACTATAGTTGCTAAGACACTCACCTCAAGGGACGTCCTGTCAATTCCTCTAGGCACCTTTGTGTCTCGGTAAGTTCGTAGTTGATTATACGGGATTACCTGAGAATAGCAGTGGAACAGGGAAAAATTAGGATTAGTGGGGGTGATACTATACTGAGGTGGAACAATGGATGGGAATCTGCTTACGGTGTTCACCTTTGAATAAATGCTCCCAAGTAAATTGGCACGTCTGGCACTGCCAAAGGATGCAGGTAGAACTATCCTGCTAACTGGACTAAATTTCGAAGCTCCTCCAAACTAGCATCATCGCATGCTCATACGGGACAACAAAACTCTTATTCCCATTGCCTGACCGTCTATTTCTGGACTCAGTGAAATACACGCGTCTATTGATCAGTATCGATCCGATTCACAGCGAATATCAGGACAGTTCCTGCGTCTATGCTAGTGGCGGGGTTTCACACAACCAGCGAATGATGGCACACGACGCAGATGGAATGTGCGTAGTCTGGACAGGAATCTTTGCGCTCGGTTAAAAAACATTCTGCGTGGTGCTGAGAGGTAAGCAAGTTGTTCGCTCTATTTCGGACTTCACTCTTCACGTGAAAAAATACTCGGTGTCCATCCATTCACAAACAAGGAATGTGAGAGCCCAATGCCGCGTGAGAAAAATGGAACAGCATGACTCCAGGAGGGAGGAATAATTTAGACATCTGAGAAAAAGCCGTCGTCGATTCGTCAAGCTCACCCGACGAGATAGACATCATAATATTCAAATGTGAATTTGTCTGGCTTTGAGATAGAAATAAGAAACCGGGAGAAATTCATCTTTCAATACAGTCGAAATGGAGACTTTGGAAAGGGGGGGGGGGGCAAAATTTTCTGGCTTTGGTCATTGAGTGGTTTGGGTTGTGTTTCAGATTCTAGCGCTACTGTGACTCTCAGAAAATATGGACAAGTAGGCTGAGCTAGTTCTATAAAGCATTTCATGTTCTAGTCTGTCCGGTTGTTCGTTCCAGTGTCAGATCGAGTGGTAGTCTCTATAACGGTAACATTTTAGAACAAACAAAGGAGACTTTCGGCTTATACCGGGGTGAGTTCCTCTCAAATTTGCTCATTAAGTCAGAAGCTGACGAGAATCACATTCGTGGAGAGTCACTCTTGCAGGATGCAGCTATCAGAACAATTGGGTGAATAACTAGCATTTTTGCATGGAACAATACCACTTTTCCTCCTTCATATTGCATACTGTCGTGAACTTACTTGTATGGTGCTGGGTCTCGATGAAGGCTTTTTCACCAGAGGGAATTTTCGACTTTAAACGGTTTCAGACAATTTTAAGTAACCGTATCCGCAGCTATTCTTCCCATTTAAGAATTACTTGATAAATTCTTGGTCCACAAATTTCGGCTTAGTAGTTCAGCGCAACCTCTTGGTCATGGGTAATTGGATAAAATCGCGGTGGACTGATCGTTCACGTTCGGTATATAGCTGCCATGCTACCCAAAAAAGGACGAAGACTTAAATACTGCCAGATTACTCAAGTCTAGACAGGAACAGCTGAAATGAAGAGGTTGGATTCGAATCACGGAACTTTTGGTCTGTAAGTTCGCACCTTAAGCATTGAGCTATTTCGGTGGACCCACACATACACTGGATATGGTGATCCTGTCATCTCCAGGATGCAGATAGTTTTCTTTGCTGTACTTCTTTGTATACTCCTGCAGGCAGTATCATCACGCTTTAAGAACAGACTGTTCTACAAACCATAAAGGCATACCTGTTGGAAGACATTATTAATCCTTGGAAATTTCAAGAAATCGGAGTACAAACGGATAAAGAGTTGTCGTTCTGATTAGATGGGTGTGCCACCAAGTGAGCTATTCGGGTTGCTGCTCCAAGTTACATTTTGGTGCTTCAAATGTGACTCGCCACGCATCTGCTTAATTGATGGACAGTTGAAAAATGCTGGCGCTAGTGGTCACACCTTTGAATAGTTTTCGATGAGCTCCAGGCATAGAAACCGTCCAGGTATTCAGGGGGTCAAATTGAGGCGGAATAAATGACAGGTGTGATATTTGAAGAACTACAAGTGCATACAGCACGTACAGCAAGAAAGAACCCTGGGGTCGTCGCGGTGCTAGCAACGGTGAGAATCTTGAATTCACCGTTACACTAACATCTGGATATCTCCGGGATCTTGGACATGGGCTAACCAGTATAAAAAGGGTATTCTTTCGCATAACCTTTTAAACTTTTACGAACGTGTGGAGAAGCTTCCTCGAAAACCCACCAAGTGAAGTTTCAGGATAAACGATTGTCAAACTAGATGTGTTTCCTGTCTGACTAATGTCAAATCATGGTTTCTGTAAAAAAAAACTTCATCAGTGACAACTCTGATGTCAAAACCCAAATTCCGTAGTCAGGAATGACGATGGAAGAGCATGTACAACCGAACATCAGTCCAGCTACACACTGAAACGAAACGAAAGGAGCACATATCTTATCTTTAAAAAGTACCGAAAAAAATCAGCCAAGTGCACTGAAGTCAGGACACAAGGCATTCAGTGTGCAAAGTTACAGTGTGGAAAAAAGACTTCGCGCCTCGTAGAGGATTTGAAGTGGGGAGGTTTTCTTCTCGCTTATTCGATGGTTAAGACCGGTCTCAGGTGCTGCGATTGTACGCAGCTAGATTTATTCGGGGAGGAGGAGCAAAGAAAATCATCCGAATTCCAGCTGAACATTTATCCCGACATAAAGGAAGCCTAGCAAGCTGACACAGGTGAATTAACCACTAGATTTAGCAGTGCTAACACTCTCGAAAGGACATTGTGAAGTGAAGGCATCCCTCAGATTGGTCCATTTTAGATTGGTTCTGTTTAGTGTTTATGATCCCTTAAATTCCCTCCAGGTGGTGTCTACATGGAGAAGCTAGTGGAGGGAACTTCGAGAAGTACACTCATTTGCTAATCAATTCGTTTTTCTCGGGAGACTCAACTAAATCTCTCGGTTATGATATTCTGCAGCTGAATGTGCTGTGTACAGGCCGTATCATGTTTCAGTTGGCACGATATCGGAGATATTCCAGTGTTTTCATAAAGAAAAGAACTCACAAGGTTGCTGTCGAGTTTTCAGCAACCCTTGCGAGTAGTTTTCTGTATGAAAATTGAAGGAACTCTTCAAATGTGACTGCTGACCAGCCGACAAGAAAACGATTCCGATTCGTTGGATGGGAAATTAATGGCCGCATACCTGGTCTTTTAAAAACTATTCTTTTAATTTGCAAAGACTGGGAACATGGCTAGATTACGGACGTTCACCGTTCGTCAGCAGTTGTATTTTCAGCTCTCCGTGACAAAACAAAAGCGTTTGCGATACTGACAGGAGCCCCGGACAAACCAACAGTCAACTTAGAAGCGTTGCGCGAGAAATAAATCGTTCAGAATATGGCCTGATCTGGGGAACACATGACCTTTCCCTTTATTGGAACTCACCTGGTGGGTCTAGATAAACCGGTTGCGTCCCTATCTGGTTACCAACTTCCGGCGATCGCTCTCTGGACCACCCATCTGCTGACCGGTTTGCACAGCTGACGGGTAGGATTAGATTTGACTGTCCGGGTTTCACCTGTAAACTATTCCAGTTTCTTATCTGCATGTCAAAAATTTCTCTGGGTTGCTCTCTCAAAAGTTCCAGTCTAACTTGCACATCCGCCCATAAACTAGGCGGCGCCAATGCAAGTGTGAACAGCCGTCCAACAGAAAGACGCTTATCACGGTTGGTTAAACACAAGTTTGAAATAGCCTTCCAGGTAACAAATATTCTCAGCAAAAGGCTTTACGGAACGCGACTTCAACTTAATAACTATTCGAAATGGAAGAAAAGGATGAAACGGAGGCCCGAATACAGTGCAACAGAGTGTACCTTGTCCAAAAAATATGATTACGTGAAAGTAATACGGAGTTCCCAAAGGGAATGCACATAGATTAGTTGGTAAATTGTGTGCCAAGTGTGCTAGCGAAGTAAAGTGCCTTTGATCAAGAGATACCGGATTGCTTTTATGCTCATGTGCAGTAGCGTGGTATAAATCACCGCCAAGTGTGTAGCGAAGTAAAGTACCTTTGATCAAGAGATACCGGATTGCTTTTATGCTCATGTGCAGTAGCGTGGTATAAATCACCCGCATATCTATTGAGATTTGCACCAAAAACAGCTGAGTGGCTAGACAAGAGAATTCCGATAACCTTTTCCGGACGATCCGATATGCGGGGCAGAATCACAACAAAAAAAGACCAATTAGACCAGCCATGGAGATCAAATGAGCACTACCGGGATAGAGTCAAACTACACGTCACCAAGTGGTACACTTAGAACTGAGAACGGCACTGATTTGTGTTTGTTAGGGCTCGTGTTGTTTTCGTGAATCGAATGAACTTATGGATGGCGGCTCATTACATCTTAGCGCACCTCATCCAATGAAATCATGAGGTGACCGAATGGGACTAGTGCGCTCCGTACAGCTTATTGATTAGTCAACGCAGGCGAAACAGGAAGAGTAGGTTGATGCAGAGTTCCCGCGATCAGATTGGTTGAAAAACGCAGAAAACACCACCGTACAATAGATTGAAATTCACTACACCCCTACCATCTCATCATCATCAACCAGGATACTGGTAAACCAGAACTGGTTACCTTTGCTTAACCGCCATTGAACCGGAAAAATGAGGTGTCCTAAACAGACTTGAAAATAAAAGGGAAGGTTTTGCGAAAAGCCCCACGATCCTACGATCAGTATCCTGGGACCTCACCGTAGATATCAGAATTAGTTTTCCGAGAGAAAATTTTGGTTTACGATTTGATTTACTCCTCAAAATGGGAACCACACAGAGCAAATCCGTGAATTTCAGCCTAAATTTGAACATCAAACTGTACATGCATCACCAGAAACAATCATTTGCAAGATGGGATGAATCCCCTTTCATCAACGATTTGACTGCTGACTGATTGTTTGTCGCAGCACACTTTATTTCTATTTGCAGATGACAAGCAGCGATTGGATTTCGTAAAAATTAAAAAGACCTGATGACACCAAAACAGAGTACAATAGGTACTAAGCTTTCGACGAATTTTGGTCAGTCTTCAGCTTGCACTTGCATTAGTGTACATCACAAGGTGAGTTGGATATTTTTGAGGTGCTTTACATTGATTATTCAAGCAGAACGGAATGCTCACAGAATCCCGACTCAGAGAGGAACGATTTCACAAGCTTAACATGTATCTGAGAAGTTGTTACTCGTGTAGTCAGGCATTACGTGATCACGAGATGTCGTTTCTGTGATTGAAGATAAAGTGGCACTATGCACTGTTCAAATGTGAGTTAGCCACACTGCTGATTAGCTGTTCAAACAACTAGCCGACAGGTCGTGGGTTCCGGACTCCTTGGAGTTTCTTGAGATGTGCAGTGCTGATGATTCTAAGTGCATTTCGGCTATTTAACATAAATTGGCTACACTTACAGAACGCCATTCACTAAAAGGAAAGTCATTTGTAATGTACTTAGAAAGGCACATTAGGTACAGTCTACTGTAAGGCTGAAATCCTAGTGATCGGTTAGGCTTACCGATCACCGTAAAAACACTAACAAAGTTATGTGAATCGCTTAAGAAAAGTTCTGTATGCATCCTTCACGCTCTGCGGGTAAACCGGCAAAATACAATCCTTTGAACTAACCTTTGGTGGGGGAGTGTCGGGTTTGTGAAAAGCTGCGCTTGGAGGAGGTGGATAACGCACATGTGGATAGCTCAGCTGATTGGTTGTGGAATCGAGCAAATCACCTGCAGAATCCGCACACCGGTTTCGTGCGACGCGTGAAGTAAAGGGAGGTACCAGGGAACTCACGGTCTCCGTGCCAGATGCCTGATGATTTGTGTGTAAGGTATGCACACTGTGATAGTATGGCCTGGAAGTGGGTGCTGGGAACAAAACAAAGTGGACAGGGTCAATAACATCGACTTTATTGGGGGTAGGAAGTCACGTCATTATCCGGTGCATGACCTGTGTATGTTTGAAACTGCATACACTTCCCGAATAAGACTTAACCTCAATAAGCAAAAACCCATGGGAAGTCTAATGAACCTAATGATGAGTGTAGAGAATTTAGTTCCGTTGTGCTAGCTGTGTTGTATGCAACTGCTCATCGGGAGCACATGTGATTTTTTGGCAAGGTTTTTTTTAAATCCGGAGATTGTTTTGTTGAAAAAGATGGGCTATTATAAGGCACTTGAGTCTATGGTTTCTACTGGAATTCGGTTACAAATAAGTCAGTTAAAAAATGATGCAGTTCAACTGTTTTCACGCGTTGGTCTTTGATTTAAATCCTCCACGTAGTTAAATACAGATATGGTTGTTCATGCGTAGAAACGATTCAAGATTTTCAACAAATGCACCCCAATTTCACTTCCAAGAGAGACTCATCCAAGCTGAATCTTCCATTCATAATGTTCTTCAACTGAATGTGCTGCATCGGGACAGCCTCACGTTTCATTTGTGGCATTATTCGAGATATAGCAGTACATTTTCATAAAGGAAATTACCCACAAGGTCACTAAAAACTCTTCGACAGCCCACGACCATTTTCGTCCTTCTTGGGGCTCATCAGACCGCAATCAGTCCGATTTGGGTTCAAGTAGAACATGAGGTTGACGGAAACTCGTGGACTGCGCCTACCTGACGAGCCCCAAGAAGGGCGAAACCATACGATGTTTTTTAGCCATAGAAGCATGTTCATTGAGACGCCATCGAAAAGATGGCGAACTGTTAAGTAGAGTAACGATCATTTTTACGAACAAACCGGAATAGCTTACTGTATTAACGCCGGTGTCATTAGGTTATCATTAACCGAGGTTAAAGGAAACTGGACGTATAAATTACAACCGAGGGTTTTGTGGTGGAAGTTGAGAGTAAGGACTAAAGGTGCTCATACTGATGGGGAATTGTGATAAAGGTCAGAGTGAGGCAGACAACATGTATTGTTTAGCCGTAGCACCATTCCGGCGCCTAACTGCCATGCCACCCGAAGGTTGCACGAGGGTTGGGATACTGTCAGGTTGTCCAAGCAGGGGAAGTGGAGAGGCAGAGGTCGGGTTCGAACCACAGACCTTGCGGTCAGTAAATTCGCGCTCTAACCACTTGGACCATCTCGCCCCGGCAGACAGCGTAGATTACAAACGAGTTTGCATGAAGGGGCGTTGCAACCACACACATGATCGTGGACACGTACGCTAACCGGGCGTAGACAGGGGTTAAAACGAATAGGAATTCACTCGGACTGCGCCTGAATGACTGAATGCCCACCTGAAAATCTGGGCTTTCAAGAAGTTTAATTAAGGAGCCAAACTCAGACCAGGTGGATTCGATGCAATTACCTGTGAATAGAGTGTTCCGGGGTTTTGATCTGTCTAACTACCATGGTGACCATTGAACTTGAACATTTAAAACGGACGAGGCATACTCAAGTTTATCGATCTGGGGAGGGACTATCGTCTCCCGTGGAGCATTGGTGGCTGACACGCCAAATTTAGGAGGGTGGCTTTGTCCACCTGGTCTAAGGGACAACGAAGACAGATGTTACAGTTCTTGGGCGACGAACTGACGGCTCTTCCGCGGCTGTTTGAAGCCACTTCCAAATCGTGGAAGTAAACCTATTCCACATGGGTTTATGAAACACCTGTATGGTAGGTTCTTAGCTGCTCAGTCGAACTGTTCATTCGGCTTGACAAATCCTCTGCAAACTTTCAGTAATATGTTGTGTAACCAAGCTGTTAGGTGCATACAAACCCACAGGTGTGGCCCACCACTGAAACCGATGAAGTCACCTCAGTTGGTGGTGAAACCACATCTATCCGTAAAATAAACAATGTCAGCTACCTTTGCCGATTGAAATAGCTGTTAATTGAATATGTGAAGCGCAAGATCGTGTTCGATCCCCGTGTTCGTACAGTACCTGGTCACCAATAAGCCTCGGATAATGAATGACGCTGGTCGAGCTCGTTCCAGATGACAAGCAGCGATTGGATTTCGTAAAAATTAAAAAGACCTGATGACACCAAAGCAGAGTACAATAGGTACTAAGCTTTCGACGAATTTTGGTCAGTCTTCAGCTGGCATTTGCATTAGTGTACATCACAAGGTGAGTTGGATATTTTTGAGGTGCTTTACATTGATTATTCAAGCAGAACGGAATGCTCACAGAATCCCGACTCAGAGAGGAACGATTTCACAAGCTTAACATGTATCTGAGAAGTTGTTACTCAAGTAGTCAGGCATTACGTGATCACGAGATGTCGTTTCTGTGATTGAAGATAAAGTGGCACTATGCACTGTTCAAATGTGAGTTAGCCAGACTGCTGATTAGCTGTTCAAACAGCTAGCCGACAGGTCGTGGGTTCCGGACTCCTTGGGGTTTCTTGAGATGTGCACTGCTGATGATTCTAAGTGCATTTCGGCTATTTAACATAAATTGGCTACACTTACAGGACGCCATTCACTAAAAGGAAATTCATTTGTAATGTACTTAGAAAGATACATTAGATACAGTCTACTGTAAGGCTGAAATCCTAGTGATCGGTTAGGCCTACCGATCACCGTAAAAACACTAACAAAGTTATGTGAATCGCTTAAGAAAAGTTCTGTATGCATCCTTCACGCTCTGCGGGTAAACCGGCAAAATACAATCCTTTGAACTAACCTTTGGTGGGGGAGTGTCGGGTTTGTGAAAAGCTGCGCTTGGAGGAGGTGGATAACGCATATGTGGATAGCTCAGCTGATTGGTTGTGGAATCGAGCAAATCACCTGCAGAATCCGCACACCGGTTTCGCGCGACGCGTGAAGTAAAGGGAGGTACCAGGGAACTCACGGTCTCCGTGCCAGATGCCTGATGATTTGTGTGTAAGGTATGCACACTATGATAATATGGCCTGGAAGTGGGTGCTGGGAACAAAACAAAGTGGACAGGGTCGATAACATCGACTTTATTAGGGGTAGGAAGTCACGTCATTATCCGGTGCATAACGTATGTGTTTGAAACTGCATACACTTCCCGAATAAGACTTAACCTCAATAAGCAAAAACCCATGGGAAGTCTAATGAACCTAATGATGAGTGTAGAGAATTTAGTTCCGTTGTGCTAGCTGTGTTGTATGCAACTGCTCATCGGGAGCACATGTGATTTTTTGGCAAGGTTTTTTTTAAATCCGGAGATTGTTTTGTTGAAAAAGATGGGCTATTATAAGGCACTTGAGTCTATGGTTTCTACTGGAATTCGGTTACAAATAAGTCAGTTAAAAAATGATGCAGTTCAACTGTTTTCACGCGTTGGTCTTTGATTTAAATCCTCCACGTAGTTAAAT